GCCCCTGTCCCAATGTGGGCCTCAGAGACACTGAAGTGATATCATCAAAACAGTCTAGTGACACAATATACACTCTGGAGTACAAACTTTTCGTGGAGTGTGTCTGCAGCTGTGCATTGAGGACATGCCGCCTCCCTCAAACTCTTTACAGTCTTAGTGGGGGCGTACCAACTGTAATCACATATGACATGCAGTGATACCTTGCTTGAAGCAACCAAAAAAGCTCTGAAGTAAACAGTTATGAAGCAAATTCTGTCTTGTGTGTGTTACATATGAGTATGAAAGCAATATGTATTCAGTGTGTGAAAAGCAGCTTAAATGTAAGACTCATCTAAGTCAGTCTGATGGATTTGATCTAGTTGGATGTTTCTTGAAACCTTATATGTATGTCTGAAAATATAAAGATCCAATCTCAAGGCTTTCTTTGTTTTTATTTCTTATCCCCCATCTCCTTTCTCAGTTTTAAAGAGATTCAAAGACGTTAATCTTACTGCTTAGAAAAGACACACAGTGAAGAGTGCAATAGTATTGAGCTGTGTTTGCCTCACCATGATCGCTGAGCTGAGCAGCACACAAGATAAACTGCAGAGAAATGCACAAGGTGACCAATTTACTTAAAATAGGGCATATTGTATGGTACACTTTAGTGTCCCATGCTTTTAAAATATTTAAGGCACAAATTAAATATATTTCATGTTACAATAGTTCAAATGCTAATAAAAATATCCTCTAACATTAACCTAGTAATAAAAAGGTTGCTGCTTTAAAAAAAAAGATATAATTTAAAATCGTTTTAATTATTTAATTTATAATAAATGTCTCCTTAGTTTATTCATTCGACTAGATCTTGCAATCTAAAACAAAAATTTCCAGTTGCTGGTGTTAAGATTTCATAAATTTTCTCTTCAATAAACAAGGATGTTCATGAATTGACTTAAAGGCATGCTATCAATGCAGTGCCATCCCATCATACATTTTGAATGCTTATCAACAACAAACCATGCCATTTATGTGTGTGTGTCAGGAGCTACTCCCACTCAGCTACTCACAAACATCAGGATTCCCTGTGCTACAGAGTAGATGACATATTAAGGACAGCACTGGAGCCTATTATATTAGTGGTAAACTGTCATTGGCTGCTCAATCTCAGCTAAAGTCTATAATGAAGTCTATAATGAATAATGTAGAGCACTTTAGGCTAAAAGCGTAGGTCACTTTTGGCTAAAAGTCCATTTCACAGGTTAAAACTATCCAACATATGGTCCAATTTAAATGTTGTCTACAAATTAAGACTACTCTTGATATTCTAAACTTTTTCATTCTTTCTCGGGCAGCGTTTTCGAAAAAAGTTGCCAGCTAGCTTTAGCATTTTCATCAGCATTTTATTAATGAATTATGTATAATGTATAAAGTATAAATCAGATAAATATTTAAGAGAATATATAAGATATATAAATCAATATAAATAAGCATAATAAGCTTCATGGTATCAACAAAGCTTGATTGAATTGGTTTGGGATTGTCAAATTTAAACTAATCCTGTTACCCTGAGTTTGTGCAACTACCATCATAGGCCCCAGATGTGATTTAATGGGAGCATGGGAATATTGAAATGAAAAGTGCCAAAAACAGAGCCCTGTTGAACTCCTTGAAACTTTCAGAATTAGGTCTATATTTCATACCTTAAATAACTTAAATGTAAGACTATACACTTGCTTCAATTTAGTATATGTGGATTCTTTGGTCCCCACCTCCACTCAATCACACCAGCTCAGAATACCTGATCTACTCTTTCAACTTTACTGTAGTAATGGCAAGTGGAAATACTGGTTTAATTCAGCCATATAAGAAGCAAGAGGAAGAGCGAATTATACAAGCTTTATTTTATTTATAAAATTTAATTATAAAATACATTCATCTATAAGGCAATGTATCAGAATGGTTATGCGTTTTTTGCATTGCTCTCTCTATGTCAGACACATAATGGTTATTGATATGATTAGCCTTTGGCTTGACTATGTTATCAAACAGCTAATGATGTTTGTTAATGTTACAAAAGCCATGTTCCTGTTCGCCATCTCAGAGTCACACAGCTGCCTTCCAAAAATCATAATCCTTAAAAAAATCCTGTTAAGAACCTCAGTGGAGAAAGGCATATAGTTCATCATTACATATTGATATACATTGTAAACATAATTTAAAATATACAGAGATAACCTGGCAATTTAAAGGGATGCTGAATTGAGAAATCAAATTTTCCTTGAGCTTTTGACATCTAAGAGGTCATCATACTATAAGAATACCCTGTAAGTTTTAGAACTGGAAAAAAGCCCTTCTTAGTCCAGTAAAAGCTTTTATTAACAGCAGGCTCAGCAAACGACTCATTTTTCAAAGTGGGGAACTATGATGACAAAGAGGTTAAAAAAACACTCCCGCGAAAGAAAATCAGTGCCTACTTCAACACGGCCGGTTTAGCCCCACCCACCAGTTCGCGCATTACACGCATAGCTAAATAACATAGGGCTCCCACGTGATAACAAACCGGATTGAGCTACCAAGCAATAGAAAAAATTGTGCAGTGCCTGCTTGAAATGCCTGCTTTTGGAAGAAGAAAGTTGCTGCATATGCTTCATCTGGATTCCAATTATTTTTAATGACGTTCCAGCTGATGAGGGTAAAACATTGTCCGTCTGTTCGCTTCATTTCACTGAGGATTGTTTTGTAAACAAGACTGGATTTGCAGACCGATTAAGATTAAAGAACGGTGCTGTGCCGTCTTTATTGGATCCGACAGGAATGCTGCAACACACAGACTCTGTGTCAAACATCCAGTATGTATGGGCAAATCCTTACGGTTGCCATTTTACAACATTGGACATTTTCAAAACAATTTCCCCACGTGCACCGACGAGTGAGTTGAAACTCATTATACTATGCAAAACTGTTATCCACTCACAGCAGTGGGCGTTTACTTCCAGTCTTCAGTGCGAGACGCCCATAAAAACCGAGCGTTTTTGAGCTTGGCTCAAAACTAGGGCAGAAAATAGCCTATTACTTATTCATTTAGCTGTTGAATGTAAAAACCAAGCAAACGTCATAAGTTGACCTCAGAAAACAATATAATAAAATTTAAAAAGCCAGTTCATGACCCTTTTAAAACCATGTATTTGAGACTGTCTTTGGTAAACATGTACCCGATACACCATTTTCATACCAACAGAAAAATATATGAAGATAACCTGGCAGTTTAAAACTATGTTTTCGAAACTGTCTTTGGTAAACAGCATTTTTAAGGAAAAAATACTCAGCAATGGTATTGACTGATGAATGTGCACATGGTTTGTCCAAAAGCATAGTAAAAACACATAGACATATCTCTTTAAGACATAGTCTTTAAAAGAACGACTAAAGATAATAACAATATTTCTTCCACCAATATCACACACCCAGAAACAAAGAAAGAGGTGAGAGACTCATTTCAACTACTTTCTTTGTATTCTTTACTCATCCAAAACCAGCCTAAGAAATTAATTACCATAATAATTCTACACTCACTTTTGCCAAGCAATTCTTAGAGGCAGTTTTACATAATTAAGGCAGATCAAGCTAGAACAGACTTTAAATATGCGCATGAGTTCTCTCACTAAATTCCAAAGAGATTCACAGTGGCCGATAGGAGTTCTCAACATACAATTCACCACTGCCGAGTTGAATCCCCAACGACATCATCAAGACATGTCAACTATACACATACCCCACATACCCCAGATTTTTAAAAGAGTACAGAAGGAGATAATTCCCATGCCTTCATAAGATTTCTGCATGAAGATTCTTTCTTTTTGTGTGTGTGTCCACATTTTGGTTTTTGGATACATTGAAAAATAGACATTGTATAAAAAGCTTTAAAAGGAAGTCTTATTATACTGTATATTCAGTCTTCAGTATGTATTGAATACTGTCTCTGTTGGAAAGACCAAGTTCAATTGTGCTTTCTGCCAGTCCTCGACATTATACTTTGCCAAACACTAGGTATTTTGATAATATCTAGTCAAGTAGTTAATATGTTTAGCCTACTAAGATTATGAATGAATGATGTGAAGCTGCAACAGAATCAAACACATTCATTTACTTGACACTTTGCTGTCCTTGGAATGAACTGTAGATGGGTTTAACCATAACCACATAAATGAATTGAGAATTACTTCTTTTAGTGTCCTAACAACCACAGATGTGACTAAAGACATGCCCCATCTGGATTTTCTGTCTTTATTGGCTCAAGCACGTTCAGAATTAAAAAGGGTTCAGGTGGTCATTACCACACCCTAATGTATAATTCTGCCATATCTTATTCTACAAACAGCTCACATCATTATAGGAGTCCCTTGAGGGTAGCATCACTGAAGCATTCACACTTATTAAAGGTGATAAAATACTAAAGTGTGGCCTAATTTTTTCAGGACGATGCTCTATTGGAGCATCCAAGGGAAAAAAAAAAGAAAAGGTTGTTTTAGTTTAAAAATGTTTAGCATCAATTGGAGTTCAGTGAGTACAGGAAGCTAACACTAAGACATAGGCATGACTTGTTTATATTTAATAGGACTGTCTGATATCAATGTTAACTTTGAGAGCCATGAAAAAAACAACAACTAATCTCTCAATTTCAAAAAAAAAAAAAAATTTGAAAATCATCTCTGGCAAGGACATTTTAAAAATCCCAGACTCATTGGATGAATAAAATGTCAACAAAAAAAAAATAGCATTAGGATAAAAGTTATAGCCCTTCAAATGAAAGATGTAGTAATGATCCTAGACCAGAGCACACATAATAGGCTTTGTTTCCTATGGTTTCCAGACAACACCAGGGCATAAATCACTCAGAAAACATTTCAGATTAATTATGCCGTTTGAAACCATAGGGATCATTTCCACTCCCATTAGGCTTTAGTTAATATCTTTATTTAAATACTTTTATTAAATGGCTTTTTAGATCTATCACTTACTTGTTTGCCCTCCAGAGTGTAGAGTCTCTTCACAGCCCCAGAGTCCAGTTTAACGGCATCCGTGATGTCCGTGAGCACCTGATCAAAGGAGTGAGCCGTCTTCTTATTCAAAAGGACCCGGACGGCCTTGCGCGGTTTGACGCCACTCCTGATGACAGTCACCAGCTTGGGTTTGATGAAGTCTTTGCTCTCTCGTTCTTTCAGCTCATTCTTTGAAGTGGTAAGAGATGGCATCGAGCGGGACGTCCCAGTCTTCACATTGACTGACCAGTTGGGGTTAACGTTCTTAGTGTAGTCCACTTTACGGTAGGGTTCGTTGGAAGCACACACATAGCTTTCTCCTGCCAAAGCAGAAGAGGAGAATAACATGAATGGAAATATGTCCTGTGCAAAATATGGCTTACTATTAATTTAAGTTTTTAATTTTGTTTCTTTATCTATGTGATGTTTTTAATATGTTTTAATAGTATTTTCAAAAAGAAACTTGTAACCAATCATGTCAACGTGCGGGCGGGCTTTGTCATATCATTACTATGCTGAGAGTATTTTCTGTTAATATGAAAAATCAGGTAGATTACGCAATATAGGTGAATTATGTATATGATCTGAAAAAAAGTAGATCAAGAATCGTTTTGGAATGGGATTTTGACTCCCAGAATCAGAATCGGATCATGAGGTGCCTAAAGATTCCCACCCCTACTATACAATGATTTATTTATTCTCTTTGTTGAATAATACAGAATATAAAGAGCTTAAATGGTAATACAGTCACATTGTGAGATTTAAAATAACATTTCTAAGATAAATTTATTCTTAGATATAGATAAGATATAGATAAAGTCAATTTAAGGATCTTTGTAGCAATACCCGACCATGAACAGAAGAATCTAAGAAATGTAAGTGTATGTTTACATGACAACAATGTACTAAAAAATGGATACATTTTCCTTTGCGAAGTGAATGAACAGTGAAAACATAAAAAGTTTCCTGTTTTTAGTTGAAAACAGTGCTGTGAAAATAATGATCAATTAAACTAGGAGAGGAAAATAATCAGTAACCAGGTGAAACAAATGATGTGTGATGTGTGAAACCATGACAACCAAGGAAACTGTGACTAAATACAAGAACTGAGAATACAGGAAACAAATTAATGAAATGAAAATCAAAATAAGAGTCCTTTAACAGAATACACCAAACTAGCCTTGACACATGCATATATTATCACACTGCTATTATAAACGTACACTCCTGAGACTGCAAAGGGTCTGGTCAAAAAATAAAAAATAAACACACAAACACACACACTTATCCCATCTGTGACCCCAACTCTGCCTCTCTACACTTTTTAGCTGTGGTTTTGGACACCGTCCAAGGCAAAGTATTTTCCTTTTCAAAGGAATTCCAATGTAACTGTTAGCAAGTATAAACTCCTATTCCCACAGCGCTACTTCACAACCCATAAGGCCTTATAAATAAATACCACAAGATTGAAACATTATTGTCAAAGAAATATTGCATATTTATTGAGTTCACTACATAATTTTTTACGAAATTGAACATCAGATTGTCTGATAGACATTGTGTTAAATACTTAAAGCCCATTAAAGTGTGCATGGCAGCATAAAGCCCATGCCTGTTTACGTGTGATGGCACATCTTGGCACTACAGCAGTGGCAGCTGGTCTGAAAATGGAGCTTTGTCATCCTAAGGAGCACAGTGCTGTCAGGACAAAACACAGGCCAGTGTATCAAAAGAGGACAAACAACCCTCAAAACCAAACATCTCCTCCTGCTCCCTACCTCAGAGAAAACATTTCAGATTTTCATATTTACAACACACGAGTTGTTGAGACATATGAAACATGCATCAAGACTTGATCATGATTAGCAATAGATTAAATTCATAACTCCAGATATGAATCAAAATGATTTTGAGTGATTTATTTTGTGTGATGCTTTTTTTGTATCAATTTACTCTGTTAGTTCCATTGCTCCGCTTTGATTTGCCATGATATTCAGTGTAAAATCACTCTTGCTCATGTGATTTTTGCTTAATAATTGCTGAGCAGAGCAAGCTTTATGGTGGTAAAGTGATCCACATGATAAAGTTGGCAAGATTAAGTATTTTCTTGCTTATTTTGTTATTTTGATTAAAGATTAAAAAGGGCACATACATTTAATAATAATAATAAAGTGCACAGATAAATCATTAAATACTGCAATATTATTTATTAAAAAACAAAAAAAAAGAATTGCCCATTTTGATTTTATGGTGAGTTTTAGTTTGAGGGGTCAAGAAAGTGAAAGCAGCCAGCTAATCAATATAAGAGAATGATCTACAAAATAATAAAGATAGGAAACAAATGTATTAAAAGTTAATTTCTAAATAGCTCACATTGAAATATACGTTTTGCGTGTTAAATTTGATTTTCATTTTTGTGGAATTACTATTAGTATTCTTAATATGATTTTGCTTGGTAAAATTTACTGAAAGAAAATGAGAGGATTTTCTGAAAGTAAATCATATTTCATAATTTCACACACCCGACCTTCTGTCTCCAAAGCTTTGTGGTTTTATATCTCCTATAGCGGAAGTCAGGAAATATTTACCTATTTTCTGTTCTTCTTGCCACTCACTGTAAATGGATATTGATCCGAGCAGCTTTGTATCAGATTTGAGCTTACCTAGCTGCACTGAGTCAGGTTTGCCATTGCTGTTGACGTTGACTGAAGCCTACTGAAGTACAGCAGGTCTATAGACCAGGGGTTCTCAACTCCAGTCCTCGCGACCCACTGCTCTGCATATTGTGTATGTCTCCCTTATTTAACACACCTGATTCAGATCCTCAGCTTGTTAGGATAGCCGTAGAGTCTATCTTAACGAGCTGAGGATCTGAATCAGGTGTGTTAAGTAAGGGAGACATACACAATATGCAGAGCAGTGGGTCGCGAGGACTGGAGTTGAGAACCCCTGCTATCCACAAGTTTCCGAGGGGCGCTCCTGTAAAAAATAAAGTGGGTGAAACTTCCGGTGACGCGGCGGAAGTAGCATTCCAATGGTATTTTGTGTGTTAGTTAGCGAAGAGGCTAGCTGTTTTTCGGAGAATTATTTTACTATTTAAAGACGCAAATCTTTATGAGAGATGTCGTTACGGAGCTCAGGGACAACATGTGCTGTTCGCGGTTGTATGTATAACCGGACTAAACTAATTTAGTGGCTTAAACGGGATTGTTTTGAACATAAGCTGAAAACGAAATCAGAGTGATCCTCCCAGAGCCCGTCTCTGATCCTGCCAACGACTGTAGTTTCCATCACCTCCCAAAAGACGACGAATCTTCCTGTGTACATTTGTTTAAATTCTTAATGTTCTATAAACTCTATCAGCATGTTTATTCATTTATAATTTTGAATAAACTCCAAAGCACAATGACTAAGTGTGTATTTTTTATTTTAATTGTTTGTCAGCTCGCACAACTGTCTGTCACCATGCCTTGATGAGTATTGATAATTAATAATGTTATTATAATACTCCCAATCAACTACTGCGGAGGGTAAAGGTAATGTTATTTCACCCTTTTGAATTTCGTTGAGGTTGTGTTCCCACATCGTTAGCTAGTTTGGATCGCTATAACTTGAATGACTGTCAACTGTTGAATGAACGAGTGTGAAGTATGTCAAGTTGCGCTTTGTTTACTTCCAACCGGAAGTCGCGCCCACTTTTGACGCAAGGCCTCATGGGGCGTAGGAAACTTGTGGATAGACCATTTCACAAGATGTAAACAACACTGGTCCAGAAGCACTTCCTGTTTCAGTTTTTTAACACTACATAAAAGCTGGGATAAAATACAACCAACAGAACATATAAAACTGAATCAAAAAGTTAAACAAACATCTTTAAGATGTTTTCTTTACATGTGAAATAAAGAAAACGGTTACAAACTGAAACAGGAAGTGCTTCTGGACCAGTCTTGTTTACATCTTGTGAAATGGTCTATACAGAAGTATACGTTCAAATCTGCCACCATTTACATTTATACGTGTACGCAGAACCAATGAAGTTTGTGGACCCTTTCTTCTTCCTCCACTACGGTGCTTGATGGACAGTTCTCCCATCATGGTTAACTAAAAAAGTTCTTGGCAAGCTTGAAGTTGATAATTAATGCGTAACGAAAATGATTTGGACATTTACAGCCAAGGCTGAGTTATTGGCTAAACAAGCCAATAGAGCTATTTCATTGATATTCAGTATATTGCTTTTTACAAATCATTTTCAAAATGCAAGCTTTACATTAAATGCTGCTGTGTTTTCTGAGGTTGCATTTTGGATGTTTAACTAAAATAAGCTATAGGTTTAGGGAAATTTTTGGTTTAGTCTTAATAAAATAATTATCAGCCTGTATGTATTGGTTGTCCAAAATAAAATAAAACCAGAATGTCTAAAACAAATCCAAAAAACAAGCAATGGGAATACAGATTTTTAAAAGCATTTTCAGTTAAACAAATGATACTTCATACTCATAAATCAAGGATATGGCCAACATTTAGTTCCACCACTGACCCAGAACTACAACCATTCATCCACAACATAAATGTCATTGTCTGGCTCATGAAATCTCAATTTCACCCAGTTTGCCTCAGAAATAAGAAGGGGGACTCCCAAAGCACTGGGCTTTATTATGCTAAGGAATTAACAAAAGGCTAATTAATGGAGAAGACTCCAGATGGGGTCACTATTACTGATGAAAAACTGACCCAAAATCAGATGGCAGCTATTTGACAAACTATGTGTGTGGGAAGACAGAAATATAGTAATATGGATGTCATTTACATGAGCCTCAGGTGTGGTGTGGACTGGAACAGCAACAAGGGTTATGAACCCTTCATCACCCTCCCATAACCAGTCCTTTCTTGATGTCCAGATGGGTTCCCTTATGTTCAATAAAGTTTGGTTTGCCAGCACAATATGCAGTGTACAAACACTCCAACATACTAGCTGCCTGTTCCTGGCAAACTTTAGCAAATAGCATTCATAGCTTTGATCATGCATTTGTAAGACTTTACAAAAATTTGAAACATAAAAGAGAACTAAGCCAACCCTCAGTCAGCGTGAAGAGATGCTGAGCTCGGCACTTCAAATGCAACGCACTTGAACAATTGCATCATTGAGCAAACACAGAGCCACATTCTGCACATTCTCACATGCTGGACCAAAGCAGCTGGAATTGTGCTTTTAAACTAATTTAGTAAAATATATACTTGTACAGCTTGAATTGTGTGTTTACAATAACACGATATTACAGATCAAGTACTTTAATTATGCAATTCGCCATTCATTCTATTGTTGAAATTCCACAGAGATAAAATAAGGCCCAGATATTTGGGTTTGTTTGTATGACAGTCTACATACTGGCTGCCTTGCATTATCAATGTCGGTACTTTTCCCCAAAAAAAAGTCAATTCTTGCATTGTTAAATGATTCATGCAGTGCCAAACCTGTATGATGATTATTATTATTATTATTAAAAATGTCTCTATGTTTTGTTTTTCTACACATTGAAAGCAGTCAGAATATCCAGTGTTGTTTTGGACCATATTAACTTTCATTATATGGATAAACAGTATGGTGTAAACGATATGTATTCTTTTTTGTTCAGCAGACGGAAAAAAACATGAGGGTAAATAAATGACAGAATGAAATTTCATTTTTGTGTGAATCCAAAGATTAACTTTTAAAGATCCTGTTACATGTCTATTTTAAAGGTCAGTCATGGAAGGAATGGTGCTTAATAACTGTGGCCTACTTGAGATTTGCTGTAGCTTACTCAATACAATGTTCCATTAGCTAAAGTGAATTAAGTCCAGTAATCTTGGTTAAAACAATGTTATAATTACCTAAATATTACAGGGGGTTGGATCTTCCCTGTTTATCATGCCTTGCAATGTTTAAATTTAACTGAATATTAGACACATAATTTATGTAGCCTATAGGCCTTTTTTTTGTCTTATATTATATATCTATTAACATTAGTCTCTTACCTTTTTATTATATTTTATTTGATGTTTTTTTAAACATTGCCTTCACAATATGTAGAACAGTCATGACAGTGCTATTCTGAAAATCGCAGCATTGATTGAAAATCCAGTGTGTGTACAGTGTGTGCGTGAGAGACTTGTTACACACTGTCATTGCAAACAATGCACTTGTGGGAAGTGGGATCATGCTATTGCCAGTTGTGCTTTATTGGATGCCACATGGAAATTTAAGTGTCTGTTGTGTCTACATTTGTACCTGCACAATCTTCAACCTCACCTTCTAGTAACTCGTCCATGCTGGTGATCTTCTTTCCCCCGTCTATAGCATAGATGCTCCGGACTCCCTGCGGTAAATTCACATTGTCCGAGAGGGAGCGGGTGAGCTCCATCAGCAGCGCGTCGAAAGACCTGAAGCGGTCACCGGACACCGCGTACACCAAGCCCTTGAAGTACTTATCACCGTTCCGATAGAAGCGAACTTTTTTCGCTTTCTTCTCGGAGGTTAGCGACTGCAGTGTGCGTGTGCGGTAGAAGCTACAGTGCGCGCTGTGAGCGGGACTGGGAACGAGCCCGTTACCCCGCGAGCCGGAGTGAGAACCACCGCTGCCCCGCGGGGACCGGTGAATCTTCTCGCGCTCCTCGAAATGCTCCCACTCGATGCTTCTGCTGGACATGTTTATTTCCTTAAAGTCAAAACGCTGGTCCAAGAAAAAAACAGCTTGTTTTGTGCCGTTATTTCTGAATAGTTGCACAGGTTGTCTTTCGAGTTGTTTCTTCCTTTTTTCAACAAATGAGAAGCATTTTCTTTAAGAAAACAGTTAAATTAGCAGTTCCTTCTACTGTTTATTTTGCTAAAGAATGAAGACTTGTAAAAAAAATACGAGAGATAAATTGTTGTGAAAGTCCCTGTAGTCCACAAATCCAGGAACTGAGTAATTCAAGGACAGACGCTATTGTTGGGGTGAGTCCTGGTCATGATGAGATGAGACGCGCAGAGCTGTATGTGCGCATGCTGGACACGCGTGACCGTCCGCTCTTCTCTTCATCCCCTCCACTGGCACTCAATCAGGCCAACACACACCTACATGGAGGCCACGGAGGAGAGGACAGGAGCTACTCCTCCTCAGGGTCCTAAAACACCAATATGCTTTTCTATACGAACGCAGTTTTTCGAACACAGGGGGGCCTACATGGGGGGTTAACCTTTCTCAGGAGACAAGATTAGGCCTACTTTAAAGCCATAAAATCAAAATCGACTATACTTATTTTTTTTCCGGAATACTATAAATGATTTATCCATGCACATCATTATTCACGTGACGTCATAATCTTTATTCAAAATAACATGCTCTCCCATTTCTGATGATGTGTTTAGGCTACTGGCGCAAGGACACTGACATGGTAGCAGGCATGATCCAATGCCCCAATCAATTTCCAATGGACAAAATTAACTTGGAAAATTAACTTGGTTTCATGATGACTTTAAAAAAAAATGTGTGCATCCATGAATTATTATAATTATTTAAAATGATTTATATTAAATGTAATCTAAAGTTATATTTAGTTAATTAAAATGCTAAAAACAAAAGTCTAGATGTACAACACATACACTGTGAATTCATATTTCGCATTTTAAAGGGGGTTTTAATTACATTTTACTTGATCTTTTGACATAAGAGGTCATTGTACTGTAAACATATTCTGTAGTCTGTTTCAGAACTCAAAACTTCCCTGTTAGTCCAAAAACAGCTTTTTATTTGAATCCAAGGTCAGAAAATGACTAGTTTGGATTTTTGTCACATTATGACATCATAGTGTGACAGGCCGCCCCTGCAGAATCAAATCAACACCCACTTTTACATTGTCATTTGTGGCCCTGCCCACTGGCACATTAATGAGAGGAGGATACAGGATAATTGGACAAAAAATAACAAAATGCAAATGCATGTCTGTCATCAGCTACAATGCTCATTGATGCTTATTTAATTTGTAAAGATGTTAGCCAATCATAGAAGAGGGTGTTTAAATTGAGTCTCACAGCAGACATGTCCCTTCAAATCAGAGGGCTAAAATCAGGGTAGGAAATTGCCTTTTATTTCTAACTTAAAAAAAAGGAACATTGTTCACTAAGTGAACCTCGGGAAACATTACCATTAATAATAAAAAATACAGTTCATGACCCCTTTATTTTGTCCCTGTATATAAAATATAGCTTTTGAAAAATCTGGTATACAAAATTGTGCAATACACGAAAATATTGTATGTATTAAAGTGGTTTCAAATATTTATAGAACCACATTTAAAAAAATAAATAAAAAAATACATACAAATACCCTACTCATGAGATGAAGGTGGATTACACACTATAGAACCTTTAGGCCAGTTTGTCTTTGTCTTGAAAACCAAGCACCTTCAAAATAACCATTTTTTTTTTCTTGGTTGGTAGACAGTATTTTTGCAGTCACAACACTAAATATAATATCAACACATGCAGAATAAGATATTTTTGTGATGAGTGGGCCTTTCTGCCTCCTGGGAGACTGTGAGGGCAAACATGGTTGTTATTTTCTGAATCAAAGGGAGAATGAAAACAGTTGAGACTGCATGAAGGGAAGTAAACGGGAAGAAAAGCCCCGGAGAAAGGAAATCCTGAAGACAATAACAGTTGCTGCTGAAAGAAGAATCCCTTCCTCAAAAATGATAGAACAAGAGGGGGAGAGAGAAAGAGAAAGAGAAGATTCCCCTCTCTGATTATGTAAAACCAGCGTAAAGCCTGGTTTTCCTAGCCTGGTTAAAACCAGACCATTCTCAGTTGTAACTTAGTTATGAACTTATGTTCTGGCAAAGCTTCATAGACAAATCATTTCCAAAGAGAAAAAAAAAACCTATATAAATAACGAGGTTAAAACGATATAAATACTGTTCATTTTCTCACACAAACCACTCGTTTTGTGTCTTAGGCCATCAATGTGTACTTACATTTATGAGTCATTAAATCATGTTTAATTTGGACTTCACTGTGCATGCTCTTTGAGGTGGGAATATAATCCTCAAAGACTATAAATTTCCATTAATCTCCCATAAATCTCCATTATTTGACTGATACACAACAACGGTTTGACCGAAAAATATCAAAATTGAAAATACTGTGGAAACAAAGATACCTATATCTCAGCCCATTCTCACCCCTTGGGAAGCATTTGGACATGCTTCAATATCTGACGCTTTAGGCGCCCTTTAGCGTCAGTTAGATGACGCCCTAGGATCGCGTGTACCCGACCCCCACCCCACACCTAAACCTAAACGCGTCCTCTAACTGACGCTTTCCTTTAGCGTCAGTTAGATGACGCCGTAGGATCGCGTCATGTAAGTGACGCTAAAGGGCTCCTAAAACGTCAAATATTGAAGCATGGTCAAAGGTGACGCCTTGGGGTGAGAATGCGTTGTATATCTTGGATGCCCTTGAGGTAAGCTAAAACATATCAAAAAATGATTTCAAAGTGAACTATCCCTTAATGGCTTTTTATAGTTGTGGTGCACCCGCCTAACTCAGAGTCAGTGAACTTACTCATTTCAGCTGTTCTGTAACCGAAAACTCTAACACGTCACAGTCTCATCCCAAGACGTCATACAAATGACGCTTTTGACCATACGTCAACATCCGCCGTTTTAGGGTACCCTTTTAACGTCAGTTAGATGACGATCCTGGGGCGTCATCCAACTGACGCTTTACCTTTAATGTCAGTTAGGTGACGGGGTAGGTTTAGGTCTGGGGTAGGGTGAGGATTAGCTGACGTTAAAGGGTACCCTAAAGCGTATTGTCAAAAGCGTCAGTTGAATGACGTCTTGGGATGAGACTGCGCTGAAAACTCAGTTTCCCATTTCAGGGTAAGTCAACTCAGAGTTCAAATTAACTCAGAGTTGGTTGAACCTCCTTATTGAAACAGGCCCCAGATCAATTGAGAATGATTTATCATGCAAAAGGTTGAGGAAAAGCAAAAAATATATATATTAGCCGAGTCACCAAGTAAGAGGGCGTGTTAAGGCAAAATCCAATGGACGGGCAGGGGTCAAAACCAGTAGCGGACCAACAGTTTTTAAGGAAGAAGACTAGGTCAGCAAGCTGAGTCGAGATAGGGAACAAGAACTAGGCAAACAAACAACAAAACAGGATTAAATAATCAGACAAGGCTTTTAAAGGTTTAGACACATCCAAAACAAGACTTTCAGGCAAGGGGACAGTGGTGAAACGGACCGAAACCAAAACACATTGACAGTGAACCAAAGAAAGAGAGAAGCATAAGTAGCTCAGAAAATCAGTGCAGAAAATGGGAAACAGGTGTGTGAGTAATGAGAGTGAGCGCACTGATTAGGATGGGTTTCTGCTGTGATGGTAGAGTGAGGTGAACTGACAATCAAGACACAAGACAGACACAGCAGAAAGGCTGAAGATCAAACCAGAGTGTTTGTCATTAGTTCAATTTTTCATTAAAAGGACAATATCTACTATCCAATATACCAGTCCTTTAAAAAAAAATGACACTGCATCTTCGTTATGCAAATCACTTAAATACACAATGCTCTGGATCTTGGCTTAAAAAAATTTTTTTTTAATTAACATAAAATGTAAATACATGTTTTTCTCAGATAACCCTGCCCCTAACCCCTTTCGGTAACTCTTTATTTTATGGTGTCCCTGATACAGAGTAATTACTTCATTAATTACTTAGTAGCTAAACATGGTAATAACATGTAACACAATGTAATTAACATGTAACTAATTTATGGAACAGCCTGTACTTACAGATTGTATTTACACTCATGTAATAGGCAGCTACTGTTACACATGTGTAACAGGCCGAGTCGGTTACATACCGACTTGGTACAATGTAACAAGTACTTAAAAATGTTACTTACACATGGTCATTTTGCACCTTATAAAATGAAGTGTATCAAGTACTTAAGTGCACTTCATGAGCATCTATATACCTTATCCATCTGTATTAACCCTCTAGTTCACAGCTACATACAGTAGCTTCTTAATTACATTCAATTTACATAATATTACACAGGTATAAGCTACGCAAAATAAAGTGTATCAAGATTGTACTTAAGTGTACTTCATTTGTATCTACAAACCTTATCCATATGTACTTTAGTGTGAATTAGGCCTAACTCCCTTTTTCACAGCATAAATGCATGCGGGAGCTTCCTAATTACATTGCAATTACATAATATTACACAGGGATAAGCTACGCAAAATAAAGTGTATCAAGATTGTACTTAAGTGTACTTTATTTGTATCTACAAACCTTATCCATATGTACTTTAGTGTGAATTAGGCCTAACTCCCTCGTTCACAGCATAAATGCATGCGGGAGCTTCCTAATTACATTGCAATTACATAATATTACACAGGGATAAGCTACGCAAAATAAAGTGTATCAAGATTGTACTTAAGTGTACTTCATTTGTATCTACAAACCTTGTCCATATGTACTTTAGTTTGAATTAGGCCTGACTCCCTCGTTCACAGCATAAGTGGATGCTTGAGCTTCCTAGTTATATTTCAATTGCATAATATATTACACAAGGATAAGCTACGCAAAATAAAATGTATCAAGATTGTACTTAAGTGTACTTCATTTGTATCTACAAACCTTATCCATATGTACTTTAGTGTGAATTAGGCCTAACTCCCTCGTTCACAGCATAAATGCACGCGGGAGCTTCCTAATTACATTGCAATTACATAATATTACACAGGGATAAGCTACGCAAAATAAAGTGTATCAAGATTGTACTTAAGTGTACTTCATTTGTATCTACAAACCTTATCCATATGTACTTTAGTTTGAATTAGGCCTAACTCCCTCGTTCACAGCATAAGTGGATGCTTGAGCTTCCTAGTTATATTTCAATTGCATAATATATTACACAAGGATAAGCTACGCAAAATAAAATGTATCAAGATTGTACTTAAGTGTACTTCATTTGTATCTACAAACCTTATTGTTATGATTCCTGTCTTGAGTTCCCCTTGTCTTGTGTGGACTTTTATTGTTTCCTGTTTTGTGCCATGTTGTAGTAGTTTTTCCTGTTGATTAGTTCATGATTGTTCTCAGGTGTATCTTGTTTCCTCATTACTTTAGCCCTGTGTATTTATAGCCTTGTGTTTCACTTGTTACTGTCAGTTGTTGTATGTGTAATGGTTGCCTCTGTGATCCCCTGGCTTTGTTCCTTTTTTCCTCGAGTTCTATGTTGTCTGTTTTATTTGTTACTTTATTAAATCACCCTGCGTTTAGATCCTCGTTTGGGCCTGCTTTCCTCAGCTTCATTACACTTGTCCACATGTACTTTAGTGTGAATTAGGCCTAACTCCCTTGTTCACAGCATAAATGCATGCGGGAGCTTCCTAATTACATTGCAGTTACATAATATTACAAGGGGAAAAGCTACGTAAAATAAAGTGTATTTAGATTGTTCTTAATTGTACTACATATGTATCTACATACCTTATACACATGAAGTACACTTAAGTACAATCTTGATACACTATTTTAGAAGGTACAAAATGACCATGCAGGCTTTTTTCACACTTTAGTAACATATTTAAATACTTGTTGTCATCTTGAGTAGTACAACATACTTTTTTATATAATTACATTGTACCAATTCAGTAACACATATGTAACCAACTCGGCCTGTTACAAATGTGTTACAGTAGCTGCCTATTACATGAGTGTAATTACAATCTGTAAATACCAACCCGGTCTCATCCCAAGACGTCATATAACTGACGTTTTGGGACATCTTTTGACCATACGTCAATATTCGCCTTTTTAGGGCCCCCTTAAACGTCGGTAGATGAGGTTATGGGATCCCAACTCTACCCCAGACCTAAACCTAACCCTAAACCTAACCCGTCACCTAACTGACGTTAAAGGTAAAGCGTCAGTTGTATGACGGCCCGGGATCGCTATCTACCGACGTTTAAGGGGGCCCTAAAAAGGCGGATATTGACGTATGGTCAAAAGACGTCCCAAGACGTCAGTTATATGACTTTTTGGGATGAGACTGTGTTATAAATACAGGCTGTTCCATAACTTCGTTACATGTTAATTACATTTTGCTCAACGCATTCTCATCCCAAAGCGCCATATAGGACGCTTTTGCAAAAGCGTAAATATCCAACGCACATGGCACTCTTTAACGTCTAATGAGATGCTTCGGTTAATGGTTAAGTTTAGGTATGGTGTAGGGTAAGGGTTAGACCACTAGGGGGCGCCTTCTGCCCAAATATATCTGCGTCTCATTTCACGTTAAAGGGTGCCATGTGCGTTGGATATTTACGCTTTTGCAAAAGCGTCTTATATGGCGCTTTGGGATGAGAACGGGCTCATTTTGCTACATGTTGTCACAACGTCTACTACTAAGTAATTAATTAAGTAATTACTCTGTATCACGGAGACCGTAAAATAAAGAGTTACCGCACTTTCTCTGGACCAGATCATTTTTATAGGGCATAAAAGCTACAGTGTAAAGCTACAGAATATGTATTTCCATAATCTATACAGTATATTGCATTATATATATATATATATATATATATATATATATATATATATATATATGCAGTAGGAAATAAATCCATAACCTGTTATAGTGTTAGTGCTGTAGGCAAATGCACAAAATATCTACAATTAGAGTCTGCCATCTAGTGGATTAACTATGCATGCACACGAGGGTGATGGTTCTCTGAAGTCCTTGTTCACACTATTCAGAAAATCTAGCTACATCTAGATAAAATATGTCAAAAGATGCCTATGGTCTGTACAAATTATGAATTTCGGACTCTAAAGTCACTGAAAATATCTGGAGTAAAATAATAGGAATCTCAGTGGTAAAATGCATCTGGGAAACAGGGGGACAATCTGAGGTGTGCAAGCAAGGGACACAGTTATAATTATTATCACCAAGAAACCAAAGGACAAGTGTTATAGAGCATAGACCTAAAGCGATTGTTAAAAATTCAAGAATATATATATAAAAAAAAATAACTTATATTGATGGAAATGCCAAAGCTGCACCATTTGTTTGTAGGGTACTGTACTATGTACTGTACCATAATCCTAATTAAATCCTTTCAGTCCATTTTCCCTATAGTACAAAGAACTTCAGGTTCAGTTACATGAACATAAACTCACAGTCCTACCAAGGAGAAACCAACTTTCCCATTGTAGGAAAGTCTATCCCTTTAATTGCACTTTCATGTTTCAGCACTAGAGGGCACATGTCGTTCACTCTACTGATAACATCCCCTTTAAGATCATGCACTTTATACACCGCACGCGCTGGGTCACGATGAGCATGTAAACTTCAAAGCTGTGTGCGTTCGTGCAGAAAAGTGAGTATTTCTTATTTCCTGTAGAAATGTGCACGATAATAATGTTGTTTATATTATTATAATGGTATATTCATCTTGCAAGTTGTATGTGCACAAGTTAATGTTATTCGATACTCTGTCAGAAATGTTATTCGATGTCGGAAAGCTAACGTGCTAGTTCCTCAGACAGTGTTATAATGTGTTGTCATATTAACATTTAAAATGTTAATCTGTTGCCATTTTACAGTTATTTGACATGCTACACTATTATAATTGTGGAATTGCTTGTAAATTGTTGATTGTTGATCTTCTGTTCAGTATGAAAATATCTGTAGCAGTTTAACAATGACTGTAATATAATTTTGTCTAATTTGTACTATTATCCTTGGTTTCAGACCACACACACACACCCATATACAAACAGCCATGTACATGTTATTTATGTGCCCAGCATATTAAAGTTTTGGATATAACTCTCCGAGCCCTTACTCTCTAACCGGAGTCACCAGTCTTTAAGGCCTATCTGAACAATCCAGAGTTCCATCTCTACAAATGGTCCTTCGAGCCGGATGATAGCAACCTTGAAGACAACATGCAGCCCGAGCAGGAGGTCACAAAACCGATTGTGCGTCCTCGTACTCAGCGGGAGAGACATCCACCAGCATACTTAGATGATTATGATGTTGGGTATCAACTAAGCCAAATTCCAGATTGTAGTGCGGATGCCAGTAGGATAATGCCAGCGGTTACTATTCCAACTGCACAGTCACAGCATGTGACTGCGTCTAGTAGGCCATCTTCAGCACGTTCATTTCCTTGTTCACGTCACAGCCAATCAAGAACAAAGACTAGCAGAAGCTCTGGATCCAGCCGAAACACAGCTTCACAACTGACTGATCTACAGACAGCTATTGTAGAGGAGAAATTGAAGAGCATGGAGCTTGCAGAGATGCAGAGACAGATGGTGGAGGAGAGCAAAGCTGAAGAGCAGTGTGAGTTCCTGGATCAACAAGCACGGTATGCGCTATATGAGAGAGAAGAATTACTCAGAGAACAGCAAAGACAAAAATGGCAGAAGGACAATGCCAATTTAAGTGAAGGTCAGATCATCATGATAGTTGATCCGCAATTGCCCCGAGCCTTGTGGCCTATAGGCAGAGTGACTAGAACCTATGCAGGAGCGGATAATCGCGTACGCACAGCAGAAGTGCAAGTGAAAGGGCGCACTTATATCCGACCTGTTGCCCGTTTAGTTAAGCTGCCATCATGGGAAGATGAGGAAGAAAATAGCAACAGACATTGAGACTTTCCTAACTAATTACAAATTTGGAAACTAAATTTGGGGGCGGCTATGTAGGAAAGTCTATCCCTTTAATTGCACTTTCATGTTTCAGCACTAGAGGGCACATGTCGTTCACTCTACTGATAACATCCCCTTTAAGATCATGCACTTTATACACCGCACGCGCTGGGTCACGATGAGCATGTAAACTTCAAAGCTGTGTGCGTTCGTGCAGAAAAGTGAGTATTTCTTATTTCCTGTAGAAATGTGCACGATAATAATGTTGTTTATATTATTATAATGGTATATTCATCTTGCAAGTTGTATGTGCACAAGTTAATGTTATTCGATACTCTGTCAGAAATGTTATTCGATGTCGGAAAGCTAACGTGCTAGTTCCTCAGACAGTGTTATAATGTGTTGTCATATTAACATTTAAAATGTTAATCTGTTGCCATTTTACAGTTATTTGACATGCTACACTATTATAATTGTGGAATTGCTTGTAAATTGTTGATTGTTGATCTTCTGTTCAGTATGAAAATATCTGTAGCAGTTTAACAATGACTGTAATATAATTTTGTCTAATTTGTACTATTATCCTTGGTTTCAGACCACACACACACACCCATATACAAACAGCCATGTACATGTTATTTATGTGCCCAGCATATTAAAGTTTTGGATATAACTCTCCGAGCCCTTACTCTCTAACCGGAGTCACCAGTCTTTAAGGCCTATCTGAACAATCCAGAGTTCCATCTCTACACCCATCCTTAATCCAAATTTCAACCATTCCAAAACTGCCAGCACTGATCTTAGACCACCAGCAGCTGTGCAGTCAAGTGGGCGGGTGTCTGAGAAAAAGAAATGCATTTCCCATGACCCAGATCGCTCACATTCCATTAGGAGTGGGATGTTGGCCTGCTGCACCCAAGAGGGGAGGGGGGGATATGTTATGCACAGAACAGAGTCATGCCTGATGTTTTTTTTAAAAGCATAATATTGCTTAAAAAAATATATTGCTTTATAGGAGCCTAGGTGGGTGCCACTTTTAGCCATGTGAACTTAAAGAAAAGGGTCACCATTTGATGTGTCCAGTAGAGGATTCCATGTATTTCGGAACGTCAAAGTGTAATTTCCACTACATCTCAGATTATGTGAATATTAGATTTTAAGCATTTTTGAAATAAATAGATCAATTATTTCATCATATCATACTTAAAATGTTTGCATCATTTTAAAACAAAATTCCAGCTTGATTTGAAATTACCAATGATAACAGTATCATGTTCATTAGTGATATTTCCCTTGTTTTTTATTTACAAAAAAATGCATACCACATCTCATATTTCATCTCATGCCTTTTACTGACATTGCTGTAAAAATGTTTATGTTTTACATTGCTGTAACATTTTAGAGGCAAGCTTTGTCTTGATGAAATTGAATGATGACATACAATTACAGTAGTAATCAATTTAGTTAAACAATTGATATAAATGATTTTTATGTATATGCGGGTCACACACACACACACACACACACACACACACACATATATATATATATATATATATATATACACACACACACTGGTGTTCTCACTTGCATTTCCACTTTTTGTCACATGAGGATGCACTAATACACAACTTGACATAAAGTGTCAGAAACGGTTTCTGTTCAGCAGTTCATTTACTTGACATAAATTGCATCTTGGATTGAATTATTAATCTCTGGGTAATATGGTTAATAAAATCAGTCTGTCAGTGGCAAATCATCCTAATGAGTCTTGACCCCTGCTGAGATGGTCCAAGACATGAAAACACACAAGTTTATTTCCTTTTATTCATAGACCTTTTTTTTTTCTGACAGTTGTCTCTTTTGTTTTAATTATCAGATAATAACATCATAAATACTTTAGACTAACCCTAATCCAATCCATAACTCTTGACAGTATTAATTATAAAATGTATTTATTATTTAGTTTTTTTTTTTCCAATTGAGGACACCTCAGAGTTTTTGTCAGATTTAGCTCACTAACACACACACACACAAACACATTTTTCATTTGGCCATTACTCTAAGGTGGCATTGAGTTGTATAAAGTGTGATGCACCAGGACAGCAGTGTGCTCTTTATTACAAATGAACATTTTGGCTGATGGCATATACTTGCGCAGCAAACGGGTAAAATGTCTGCCTGTTAAATATACCATCAAGCTGTCAGCCAGTGCATTTGTTACTGAGCAGCGTCTGTCTCATCTGTGGCCAGAAGTGATCCAAGGTTACACACATCAGGGCAAGATCACTGGGCAGTCCATCTGAACATATGACTCTCACCAAAAACGCTCCCTTGAGAAATAACATCATGTCTGCTGTGGCCATGAGGCTGGGACACATATGGTAGTTGTTGAAGCAGATGAGAACATGCTTGCATTAATAATATGTTTATGAGACATGAAAAGGAAGGGTGAGTGAGACCGTCAAGTCATTCAGGGTTATGGGAGCTACAGTATGTATAGATGGTTTGTGGACATTTTTGAAATCCGTTTTGATGCGATCCGAGTCACACAGGAAGTAAACGTAAGAGTAAAAAATAGATGAAATGTCACTAAATGTCACGTCAAACTAACAATGATAAATACAAAAACACTTTATTTTACAGTGTCCATGTGATACATCTTACATGTACTTACTAGTAATAACCCTGAGCCTATTATGTAATAAGTGCATGTTTTAATTAATATTATACTACTCAGTACTTATTGGTGTAATTGCATTATAACAAGAGCACATTAAAATAGTCAAACCAAAAATACTTCTGAATCATTAATTGATCATTAACTATTGTTGATCTCTCTTTTTTTCAAGATTTATTTAAATAGATTTTATCATCATTTACTCAATTTTTAAAGTTATTCCAAACTTGTAGGAATGACTTTTTTCTTTGGGTACACAAAATAAGTTATTTTGAAGAATGTTTCAACTGTTTGTGTTCATAATATGAAAGTCAGTGTGGTCCAAAGCAACACCAGACTGTCTGTCCATCCATCCTTCCCTCTCTCCCTCCCTCCATCCATTCATCCATCTTTTGTGTGTTCTGGATAAAAAGAAAGTCATACAGTTTTGGAACAACACGAGGGTGAGTAAATGATGGCAACATTTTAATTTTTGATTAACTATCCTTTTCATACATCCTTGTAAAAACTATGATATAAAATCAAGATTAATCAAGGATAATTGACAGCCTTTTGCCACAACACATTGCCCTGCTCTTCTTAACAATTCCCCACATAACATGGTCATATTTCCATTGCTTCAGCATGAGTCAAGTTCGTTGACGGCTAGTTTCACAGTGAATATCAAGCGTTCTTTGTGGGTTTTTCAACGTTTTTCAAATCGTCACAGCTCCATGTGTCGCCCATTGCTTGACCAAATAGCAATGCCTTTGTTGCTAGTGTTGCGGCATAACAATTTTAGCGCAGAAAGTTTATATGATTCATGTCGCATTACACACTTTAAAGTGCGAAGACCATGATGACTGAAAAATGGCCATTAACATATCTGTCATGTCATATCTACCACATAATAGCAGATTCGAGACAACCTTTTTTTATTAAAAATGTTGATATTTCATATGCACACAGCCTTTTATACAGAAAAATGTAAAACATTTTTTTTTTTTTGTACACAAAATGCTCTCTGCAACCTGTCAATAGAATAAACTGTTGCTCAGGTTTTTGTTTTTAGTCTTCATGAATCCTTCCAGCTCTTAAAGGCGGCATATTATGCCCCTTTTCACAAGATGTTATATAAATCTACGTTGTCCCCAGAATGTGTCTTTGAAATTTCAGCTCAAATTTACCCCGCAGATAATTTATTATAGCTTGTCAAATTTTCCCCTTTTTTTGGGGATGAGCAAAAACGCGCCGTTTTTGTGTGTGTCCCCTTAAATACAAATTAGCTATAATAATACGATCCGAAATCTGCAAAAATCTGATCGGCTTATTTTTTGGCATGCTTACAGAGAAAGGCTTACCTAAACAAAGTAACTTGGTTGTCACTTTTCACGTTTTCTGGGTTGGTAGATCCACCCAGGACCCGATAGCACTTAAAGGCTCCCTGAAATTAAAAGAAATTTTTTAGCTTTTAGTATGAATAGGTTAGGATTAAGGTTAAGAAGGTAAATCCAGGCTATCCAGCTAGCAGGACTTTCATTTCGTTCATTTGTCAAATAAGAGTCGTTCTAGCACTGATATGTGTTGTTTATTC